AGACTCATAAAATTTCAAATAATAAATCTAAAATAATTTCTATAATAAAATGAACACAATTAAATTAATATTATGAGAAATAGATCCATATGGTTCAGGAATTCCATCAACGATCATGGGGCACTCCACCTTCAACTGTGGACTACAGACCACACTTGCTTTATCGAACCGACTCAGTGTTTTTCATGACCCACAGTACAAGCATGGACTCATTAGCGGGTCACCAAAATCTGACCGATAAGACAAGGGATCGTAATCCCAGTCAGTGGATTACATGTCCTCCTCTAGTGACGAGTCAAGGTCACCACGGCCTGATGCGACCACAACTCTATGGTGCACAGGGGTATCTCTTGCACATGCATACGCTTCACTCAAATGTGGATATCTGGCTTTCTCAAACGATCTATGGATATGCATGTCGTGTGATGGTTTATGGATGAGGTTTTGGCTCTCGCCTCTGTAGGCCTACCATCACACACAAGGGTCACACAATCCCTCGACTCACTCATCTAGACATAAACTCCGACCTCGTCGAGGGATAACATAGAACCCTTCTCGATTTATTCTCTATGCCCAGGTTCCTTGGGTTTTCTAACCGTCTGGCCTAGAACGTCAAGCACAGTCTGGTATCAGTAAACGTCATTTCCGTAATATGGTCCCCGAGGGACCACACTCCCACTGAGTTTATTTTTTACTATAATAAATATTTTTCATTATACACTCATAAGGCCTTTAAAGTCCACCTAAAACCGATAGATTTTACAAGAACTTTATTCTCCACATAAATTGGAAATGATTCTTTTCATTTTGTACGTTGCATCACTTGACGGATAAGAGGCTAGCGTAGTAACATATTACATATTGAAGGTAGAAATTACTTCTGAAAGCCTCATATCCATTGAAGCTATTGTTTTACGAAGCCTGTAGAAATAAGAAACTAATGCTCCATGCTCTTCCCACACCCTTTTAAGCTATTGTTTTATGAATCGTACAAAAAAAAGAGATTGATGTTCAAACCTCTTCTTCTCCCCCTCTTTCATTTTGTAGGCATTCTTGGAGCTCACACTGGACCGTGTAGAGAGAAAAAACTAAAAACTCTGGTTATAAGGCCTTTCCTTGGTGTAATAAGGAAAATAAGAAAAATAGATGTAAACAGAGGGGCAGTGTTGTAGAGGCGGTTAAAATACTTTATAGAATGTGCAATCTTAGCCAAGGTTCATCCTAAGAGTACATCGTTACATCCTAAGAGTGAAGATTACAGTGCTTCCACGACAAGTTCACAAAGCAGGAGGAGAGGGGTAGCCTTGATATTACCTTTGGTTTGAAGCTTTTCAACCAATAGCTGTTTCTAATTGACAAGGAAAATGTTTATGTAATTAAAGTACCCAAATACTATTATGGTAATTAAAGTAGTTTGTAATTGACAAGAAAAATGTTTCTATAATTAAAGTACCCTAATACTATTACGGTAATTAAAGTATCGTAATACTATTATAGTAATTAAAGTACCGTAATACTACTTTAATTACCGTAAATCTTAGTATCTATTACGGTAAGAAGACTACGGTGAAGGTTATTTTGGTCCAAAAAAAGCCAAAAATTGTGAGAAAGGGTATCTATTACGGTAAGAAGACTACGGTGAATGTTATTTTGGTTTGAAAAAGCCGAAAATTGTGAGAAAGTGTTTAGGCGAGGTTTTGAAAAATTGGAGGTTTTTTTTTATTATTATTGTAAAACTGGTATATTAGCGATAATTTCCCAAAAATATATTATATTGTCAAGCCTGCATTTATAAAATATGCGGATTGGCCGCATAGTACATGTATCCAATCTCTCTATAGTGAATGGCTTGATACTGTGGCTATTGCCCGAGATTTTGTGAGACATAGAGCTTATACTGTAGCATAAGTTAAGTTAAACAGTCCAGATTGAAAGAGAGGGCCTAACATAGTTCAGAATGGTGGATAGATTATGCCCAATATTTTTCGAGTATATTTATTTAGGAAAATTGTTTCATGTGGGCTGGACTGAATTTCTGCATATGAGGCCTAGAAAGTGTAAAGCGTTCATCTTAAAGAAGAATGTAAGTCGGTGTTCCATCTAAAAAAAACAAAAACAAACGGTCCGAATGTTTTCTTATTAAAATTATTATTTTTAGTTTTTAAAATTTATTTATTTATTTTATATTATGATCTCCATATCGGAGATTACATGTCTTTAAAAATTAAATCTTAAAATTCATCTAAAAAATAGATTTATTAAGAAGCCCTCATTTCTTCACATAACAGCTCGCCCCGCATAGAAATCGGGTCCAAGAATAATTGATCCAAAACTTCGTCTCCAAAAATTGATAAGAGGGGCCTCATTTCCACATATGAATCTTAGAATTCAGACAAACCGTCCAAATTAGAAATTAACCCTTACGCCCCTGCAACGAAACTACGCCGGCTCAGGAAAGGCGGGAAAACTCGAACTTCTATAAAGAGGAACTCACTTCACACCTGAAACTGAGACGAATTGTGTTCACAGAGAGTAAAAAAGAGGCCCATTGAGTGCGTATTGTCTCAAAGCCTTAATTCTAGTTAATTAGGGCAACGGAGACCCAATTGTTCATCTACTTATGCAATTTCCGTTGCTTTTTTAGGGTTTGCAACACAATGGAGGAATATCTGCAACATATGAAGAACCTGCGCTCGCAAATGAATGGTATCTCTGCTTGATCGTCTTTGATTTTAGGGATTTCTCAGTTATGATATTGAATTTTGCTTGATCCTAGTATATTTGAATTTATATGATTTTAATATTATTTTTTAAAAAATAAACATTCCTCTGAAATTGATGAATTTGCAGGTTTTGAGGAGCAGCTTGCTGAGATCTCAGTGGAAGAGCACAAGCAGAAGACTTGCATTCAAGCCATTGAAAATGATCTACAATTTGGTTGGTTTCTGAAAAATTATTAATCTATTCTATAATATTTATTTGTTGATTTTTTTGTGATAGTTCTAAAGAAGCTTGGATTAGTTCCTCGATAGACAATTTGGAAGCATCTTTTGGTTCCTATTTAGCTATGCTTTCATTATTTTGTAGAACTTTTGTTAATGTTTGTGATCAAATCAGATCATCAACTGTTCTATTCAGTTATAAATAGTTATCATGTTGGCTAGTTCCTGAATCTTGAGTCTCCAACAAAGTTTGGGGAGTATCTATTGAAATTCTGGAGCATGCTAGGGATTATATTTTGATTGCATATCTTACTGAATCTTCCATGGATTCCATTAGATTTGGTTTAAACTGCCTGATAATTCCATCAAATTAGATTGATGGAGAGGGCTCATTATTTTTACAGCATTTCTTGTATAATCATCCATCAATTCCTTAGATTTTTGCTGAAAGGTGCTAAATAATTGGTGAATATTTTGTCAGAATCGCAAATTTTGCTAGATTATCAAAGAATATCAAATTTTCTGCAAAGAAAATTGCAAAGGGACTTCATCAAAGTTCAGATGACCTTCAGATCATAGATACTTGGTTGAATTTCTCCCAGTATTAGGTATAAAAATGAAAAAGTAAGCAAAAAAGATTTTAGGTGCAAGTGGGACTGAGAAGTCCAAAGTCTGTCCTAGCTAAAGCCTGTTAATATTTTCCCTGACATCAATGGTTTAAGGGATAAACTTTTTGTATCACCTGATTTTGTTC